ATAATAGTAATGTGGGATACAGATTAGTGTGGGGATACAGAATTGTCCACAGACTCCAAAATTATTTTGTAACTTTGGAAATGATCGAGGGGTACAGTTTTGTGTCCACAGGATTTTGGTGTAAGTTTTTTTTTCATTTTTTTTTGTTTTTTAGTTTTTACTTGTTTTTTATTTTTATTTTCAATTAAAATAATTTTTATTTTTAATTATTTTTTATTTTATTTTACATTATTTTTTATTTTTATTTTTAATTATAATAATTTTTAATTTAATTTTTTATTTTATTTTAAATTATTTTTTATTTTTATTTTTAATTATAATAATTTTTAATTTAATTATTTTTTATTTTATTTTAAATTATTTTTTATTTTTATTTTTAATTATAATAATTTTTAATTTAATTATTTTTTATTTTATTTTAAATTATTTTTTATTTATATTTTTAATTATAATAATTTTTAATTTAATTATTTTTTATTTTATTTTAAATTATTTCTTACTTTTATTTTTAATTATAATAATTTTTAATTTAATTATTTTTATTTTTAATTATATTTTTTTTATTGTTTTTTAAAAATGTGTCAGGATACACAATTGTGTCATTGTGTCAGGATACACAATTGTGTCTTGGTCTTTTTTTGTTGTTCAAACATTTTTCATTTTTTTCATTTTTTAAAGCTTTTTTTTTTACTTTTTATTTTCCATCATTGAAATTTTCCAGATGCCTTCCACAGAAAATTACATCCAGGTACACAATAGTGTGGTTTGTTTGGAGGGTACACTATTGTGTCCAGCTGCTTTCCTGAGGTCATGATTTTTTGATTTTTTCAATCATTTCCTTTACCTTTTCCTTTGCTAAAGTTTTTTCTTTTAATTAATTACTTTCTTAGTTTCTTTCATTTGATATTCTCAGAAATGCCCAGTTTCCCAGCATATATGATGCCTGATTAAAACCCAATTAAAAAACCATCACTCAAACAATTTTTCAAGGGGGTAGTCCATGAGCAACCCTGATACATAATAGTGTGGTTTGTTTGGAGGGTACACTATTGTGTCCAGCTGCTTTCCTGAGGTCATGATTTTTTGATTGTTTCAATCATTTCCTTTACCATTCCTTTGCTAAAGTTTTTTCTTTTAATTACTTAATTACTTTCTTAGTTTCTTTCATTTGATATTCTCAGAAATGCCCAGTTTTCCAAAATATATGATGCCTTATTAAAACCCAATTAAAAAACATCACTCAAACAATTTTTCAAGGGGGTAGTCCATGAGCAACCCTGATACACAATAGTGTGGTTTGTTTGGAGGGTACACTATTGTGTCCAGCTGCTTTCCTGAGGTCATGATTTTTTGATTTTTTCAATCATTCCCTTTACCTTTTCCTTTGCTAAAGTTTTTTTCTTTTAATTACTTAGTTACTTTCTTAGTTTCTTTCATTTGAAATTCTCAGAAATGCCCAGTTTCCCAAAATATATGATGCCTTATTAAAACCCAATTAAAAAGCATCACCCAAACAATTTTTCAAGGGGGTAGTCCATGAGCAACCCTGATACACAATAGTGTGGTTTGTTTGGAGGGTACACTATTGTGTCCTGCTGCTTCCTGAAGTGATTTTGTTTTTTTTGCAATCATTTCCTTTACCTTTTCCTTTGCTAAAGTTTTTTCCTTTTAATTAATTAATTACTTTCCTAGTTTCTTTCATTTGATATTCTCAGACATGCCCAGTTTCCCAAAATATATGATGCCTTATTAAAACCCAATTAAAAAACATCACCCAAACAATTTTTCAAGGGGGTAGTCCATGAGCAACCCTGATACACAATAGTGTGGTTTGTTTGGAGGGTACACTATTGTGTCCAGCTGCTTCCTGAGGTGATTTTGTTTTTTTTGCAATCATTTCCTTTACCTTTTCCTTTGCTAAAGTTTTTTCCTTTTAATTAATTAATTATACTTCTTAGTTTCTTTCATTTGATATTCTCAGAAATGCCCAGTTTCCCAAAATATATGATGCCTTGTTAAAACCCAATTAAAAAACATCACCCAAACAATTTTTCAAGGGGGTAGTCCATGAGCAACCCTGATACACAATAGTGTGGTTTGTTTGGAGGGTACACTATTGTGTCCAAATGCTTCCTGGTGTGATGTTTTTTTTCAAGCACTCCCTTTACCTTTTCCTTTGCTAAAGCTTTTTTCTTGTATGGTATTTCTATGGTATTACTATTGGATTCCTATGGAATTCCTATGGGGTTTCCATGATGTTTCTATGATATTTCTGGAGGATTTCTATGGGATTTCTGAAGGGGTGCTATGGGAGTTCTATGGTATTCTTATGGGATTTCCATTGGATTCCTATGGTATTTCTATTGGGTTCCTATGGAATTTCTATTGGATTCCTGTGGGATTTCCAAGGTATTTCCATGATGTCTCTAAGATATTTCTATGGGATTATTATTGGAATTCTCATGGGATTTCTTTTGTGGTTCCTATGCTATTCCATGTTATTTCTATGATCTTTCTATGGTATTTCTGTGAGATTCCTATGGGATTTCCATGGTATTTCTATGATATTTCTTTGGGACTACTATTGGATTTCTATGGGATGTCGATTGAAAGTAAATTGGCAGTAAAATGAAATCAATTCAAAGTAACTTGAAATCAATTGAAAGTAACTTCAAATCAATTCAAAATAAATTGAAATCAATTGAAAGTAACTTCAAATCAATTGAAAGTAAATTGAAAGTAAATTGAAATCAATTCAAAGTAACTTGAAATCAATTGAAAGTAAATTGAAATCAATTGAAAGTAAATTGAAATCAATTCAAAGTAACTTGAAATCAATTGAAAGTAACTTCAAATCAATTGAAAGTAAATTGAAATCAATTGAAAGTAACTTCAAATCAATTGAAAGTAAATTGAAATCAATTGAAAGTAACTTCAAATAAATTGAAAGTAAATTGAAATCAATTGAAAGTAACTTCAAATCAATTGAAAGTAACTTGAAATCAATTGAAAGTAACTTCAAATCAATTGAAAGTAAATTGAAATCAGTTGAAAGTAACTTCAAATCAATTGAAAGTAAATTGAAATCAATTGAAAGTAACTTCAAATCAATTGAAAGTAAATTGAAATCAATTGAAAGTAACTTCAAATCAATTGAAAGTAAATTGAAATCAATTGAAAGTAACTTCAAATCAATTGAAAGTAAATTGAAATCAATTGAAAGTAACTTCAAATCAATTGAAAGTAAATTGAAAGTAAATTGAAATCAATTCAAAGTAACTTGAAATCAATTGAAAGTAACTTGAATTCAATTGAAAGTAACTTGAGATCAATTGAAAGTAAATTGAAATCAATTGAAAGTAAATTGAAATCAATTCAAAATGAATTGAAATCAATTGAAAGTAAATTGAAATCAATTTAAATCTAATTCAAATCAATTGAAAGTAAATTGAAATCAATTCAAAATAAATTGAAATCAATTGAAAGTAAATTGAAATCAATTCAAAGTAACTTCAAATCAATTGAAAGTAAATTGAAATCAATTCAAAATAAATTGAAATCAATTGAAAGTAAATTCAAATCAATTGAAAGTAAATTGAAATCAATTCAAAATAAATTGAAATCATTTGAAAGTAAATTGAAATCAATTCAAAGTAACTTCAAATCAATTGAAAGTAAATTGAAATCAATTCAAAGTAACTTCAAATCAATTCAAAATAAATTGAAATCAATTGAAAGTAAATTGAAATCAATTTAAATCTATCATTTTTTTGATTTCACCGTATTGCGTACCCGGTACCTTGGTTTTTTTACATTATTCTGTATCCAAAATTTGTTTTGGGGGGGGGCCTCCCCACACTAATCTGTAACCTACATTAATAATAATTATAAATATAAATATATACACACGTGTGTACATATCTGTATTTTTGTATGTATAGGGTATAGGTATACTACGAACATACTCTATATTATATGTGCTGTCTATGATACTATATATATACTCTATATATATACTCTATATATTTACATATCATATATATATATATATGTACGTATGTACTACCTATAGACGACGTGTAGTATACTACCTTCAGAATACTGTTACAAATACATAGACACTATTATATAGCACACATATACTACTTGTTTGGATTCACTAGCTATGACAAAATCCTTGTACATCTGCACCCACCCTCCAACTCCAACCCACACCGCAGAGGGGATCCCCTGGATCCCCTGGATCCCCTGGGCGGCCCGGACAGCTTCAGAGGTTCCAGGTCCGGCTTTTCGAGGGGCTTGGAATGTCCAAGCAACCGGGCAGTCAGCAAAGCACTGTCCATTTTGATTGCCTCAGTATGCCCCTGAGGTGCTAAGATGTGCTAAGTTGGTAGGTATGGCCTCATAACTCCAATAACTAAAACTTATGGTAGGTATATCATGGTATATCTATAGTTCATGGGGTTATAGACCAACTGTGTAACCATAGGCAGTTGATTGGGAGGCAAAGCTATTTGAAAACTGCACGCAAATTCATTGTGAAATATTGTGAACGTTTCACATTGTTGGATCCATTTAGCACCAACATTGGATAACATTGGCAAAAATGCGCAAAAACGCATGCGCTCCTCCACTTGTCTCTGCTCGTCTTTGGTCCACGTGATCTTGCCGTCCTGGCCATGGGCCAATTTGGATCTCTGTTTCAGATGGATTTTATGGAGCTTTCCAGGTTTCCTACAATGGGGGTACATGAGTGAAATCCTCAAGCATACTGGAATTGGATGGGATTATATGGGATTGGATTCCTGAAAAATAGCAAGGTCAAATTCGTCGGCTATGTAGTGTGGGTCAACCCTTCCGAAAGCAGCTTTGATCTCAATATTATTACAAAGGACAAATAACAAATATGGACAAATCTGAACAGCCTCAAGATTAAGAGACGAAGCAGGGTCGGCCCTGTGCCTCTTCGGTGATTTTTATTTCGGTTAATTCATCACTCTTCACACCTAGCACGCACCGGAAAGCGATAAAAAAAAGACCTGAACTGAGCTCTTTTTGAATAATTAATTCTATTTGAAAAAACGGCGCAATGTTCTTTATAATGATGCATGTTGCATTCGGCGAACAGTTCACCCACCGCATTTTCTGCACCTTCCGGATGCTTCTCTGTAGCATCGCCCTCTTTCTTTTTTTTTTCGCTCGCTCTTCTTCATCATCCACAATCTTCTTCCATGCCTTTTCTGTCATGTCATCAATTACCTTCTGTTTAATTTTGTCAGCCTCGGCCGCATGAAAGTGGGGAGGCAGACTGTCAACAGAGACGTCAGAACGACTTCACAGCTGAGTTCTGAGCTACTTTGCGATCTTCGTCGTTTGACGATAGCATTCTGAACAGCTCGTCCACTTTCTGGCAGAATTTGTGCTTTTTGGGGGTACTTAGGGGTTCGACCTCCCGATCCGTCAACCCAAAAAAACTTCACGCACATAGTGGGAAGGTTCTTGTTCTGCCCCAAGGTCTCTTAAGAACGAATCAGAGAACAAGTTCCAAGCAGATTTAATCCAAAAACCAACGGAGCTACCCAAAGCTCATGCATCCCCTGGAAACCTAGCCACGAAAAAGGTCTTCAGACTGCAAAAAAACACACATTGGAATCCATTGGAATCCTGTGGACCTACTGGTGAACCAATCATCAGACATGGAAAAGTATACCCCATCTGCAATTTGAAGATGATGTCTTATCATTATGAAGTATGAACATGTATGAACCACGCACACTGGATCTGTCCCTTACATTCCCTTACCAGCTGTGTTTTGCTACCCCCGCCCCGTAACCCCTGCACCTGCACATAGGCGTATCCAAGTTCACGAGAACTCTTCGGTATGTTCTTGTTCACGGTCGCATAACTCAGGGAGACTTGGCACTTCTGCGGCAAACCGGGGTGTGTGGTGGCAGTAGCCCCAGATTTTTTGGTTGTTTGGTATCCTGTCACCAGCTAACAAAGTCTTGTTGTGTACATGTCCACTGATGCAACGTGTATATATCTGTCGTCTACAGTGTCTCTTGTGCATTTTTTTGGCGCAAACATCTCGTGTCCAGGACACTGAAATCGCTCGCGCCGCAGGGCGTCCAGTACCAAAATCACCGGGCGCTCGCTGCATCGCTCTGCAGATTGTTTCAACAGCAGCAAACCACCTGCGAAGCCCACCAGAGTTCCAACAGCTTCCACGTGCTTCAAATCTTCGTGATATACATTGGCACTTTGGGGTCATCACGGCCACCTTGAATCCCAGGATTGCTCGATAAACTACAGGAACGCCCTTTATTTTCTGGGAACACAGGTGCCGGGGCACCATTTGGGCCACCCTCCACCAGCATCCAACAGCGATTTCGCACGGCTGCACGGACAATGACATCCTAAGCACGGGCCGTGTCAATTCGTCCAACTACGTCCCATGTGGGATGATGTTTACAATCCATTTACGAAAATGTTGGCAGTGGCAAATCAATCAAGCAATGTGGTAAACCGATATATGTAAACCACATTAAACATCATTAAACCACATTGGGGGTTGTTTATTGGTTTACCACCGTGTTTCATGAAAAATCCTCGCAGCCCATTGGACCATCGGGCGCTCCGCCATCGGGCATCCAATTGCGATGCAAATTGCTCTGATTCTCGTGGATGATAGCCACAAACAGCGACAAACATTGACCATATATTATATCTATATCAAATTGATATATCATTTGACCATTCTAACATTATATCATATATTATATCTAATATTTGGAACATATGGAACAATAATATTTGGAACAAACAAACTGACAATAGAATATATTTAGACTATGGAACAAAAAAGGTCCACGTGAACTGTATTCAAAAGCTTCTGTCGTCCCAAATAATACTAGTTGATATACTAGTTGGTTAGTAGAATTTTCTAGACTGGAGTGTGATAACTGTGATAACCCCTATTCTATTGGCAGCACAACTGCCTAAAATCATCAATCAACAGGATTTATGAATATGGTTCAGATGAATTGCCCGTGCGACCCGCCCCAGAGAGCCAAGCAGCTATGAGATTACCTGAGTTCTGAAGCGCGAAGCACAGACTGTGAAGCAAGGCAGGGGCAAAACAGAATTAATATATGAAGCGATATGTATACATAAACCATCATAAACTATTGTTGGCTAATCTGGATAATGTTTTGAGTCTTCAAAAGACTTCTAGTGTGGAGCTGGCCTGCACTTGTTCAACACACCCCACAGCCTTAGGGCCAGCCAAAACATCACTGCTTGCAAGGGCACTCAGGGACTTGTAGAGGAATTCATTCAATAGGTTGAGTGCCTTTTCCTCGAGTTTTGCCTGCTCTTTTTCGTCCATGGCTTCACCCTTCTTCTGCTTTTCTCTGAGTTCTTTGAGATGTGAATCGAAGTGGTTGTAGTATTTGTAAAGCTCCTTAGTCCAACAAATTGGTCGGCAAGGGACATAGCAAAAAGGGGAAATTTCCCATCTCTTTATTCACCAACGAAGAGGGTTCCGGTTTCGGTTTCAATTTTCCCTTCAACCAATGGGATTGGCATGGACTGCTACCAGGGCCAAGGCACTGGCTCTTCCCCCGTCCTCTTGAAGGCCTCTCTAAACTTGGCAATCTCTTCTCTGGCCAGCAAGTGCTTTGGGTGTGCGAAACCTGAGGCAGAAACTCTGAGTGGCAATAGATATGACTCTATGACATTTGCTCATGCACCAGGCACCAGGACAACCGTAACCTGTTTCCTGTTTGGTGCCCCTCAGTGTGATTGGCAGAACCCTGAACTGCAGGCGTGCCTGATTGAAACTTGATCAGGAGCTGTGGCCTTGCCAAAAACAGCAGCAAGATTGGATGCCTAGACCAGAAAACCTTCTGGAATCAAACTGCAAAGCCCTTCAACAAAAGTTAAAGCTCTTGCCCGAGTAGCGCTGGACAACTTGTGATCCTTCAATGGGGTGATTCAAGGCAGAATCCACACGAAACCGTGTTTTTTTCCCAAATGTATTCATTTATATATCATATTTATATTTGTGTTTATTTATATATGTATATATATATATATATACGCGCAACGCCTGGGTTCTGCCCAGGCGTTGCAGCGTATATATGTCCCATTCACGAACAAATGATGTTGCAAATTCCCGTAATTCCTATGGGAAAAATAACACAGGTACTAGAGACTATCAAACAAACAAGGTCAAAACACCCGAAATTCCTATGGGAAAAACAAAAACGGCATAACACCTGCAATTCCTATGGAAAAAACAACAAAGGTACTAGCAAATTTTAAACTCTCAAATCGTGAAAATTAAAATTCAATTAGGAAGATCAACAAAGATATTAGGGAATATTAAATTCCCACCCCCGTTAAACCTTAAATTCCCATGGGAAAAACAACAAAGGTACTAGGGACTATTAAAAAAAAAATCAAAACACCCGAAATTCCTATGGGAAAAACAAAAACCATATTAGGGAATATTAAACTAAACTTTACATGCAATTGGGAAGATCAACAAAGACATTAGGGAATATTAAACTCCCACCCCCGTTAAACTTTACATGCACTTGGGAAGATCAACAAAGATATTAGGGAATATTAAACTCCCACCCCCGTTAAACTTTACATGCACTTGGGAAGATCAACAAAGATATTAGGGAATATTAAACTCCCACCCCCGTTAAACTTTACATGCAACTGGGAAGATCAACGAAGATATTACGGAATATTAAACTCCCACCCCCGTTAAACTTTACATTCCATTGGGAAGATCAACAAAGATATTAGGGAATATTAAACTCCCACCCCCGTTAAACTTTACATGCAATTGGGAAGATCAACAAAGATATTAGGGAATATTAAACTCCCACCCCCGTAATGATGATGATGATGATGATGATGATGATGATGATGATGATAATGCTGATGTTGATGATCATGACGATGATGTTGATGATGTTGTTGATGATGATGATGATGAAGATGATGATGATGCGTCGCCCGTCGTCATCGCGGGTCCGGGCAAAACCCAGGCATTTGCCCTATATATATATATATTTGTGGGTTCCTGAAAACGCTCCGTCAAATCAATCCAATAAATCCTGAACAACTTTACGTTTTAACTTTTTCGTTGTGCCTTTGCATGTTCCAATGGCGCAAGATGGTGTCAAAGAGCTCCGTCGACTTGCTGTTGACGTCCTAAACACCACAACTAGGACGGCGGATCCACACGAAAGCTGTACTACCATATTTTACCCAACTTCAAATAGCTGAGTAGCTGCATAATCCGATGTTGGCACATACACGAACTCTTGAAATCCTTGGCTGAAACACAGGGTGGACAACACAGCGCCGTTTTGCAACGACTGCGGAAAGTGGCTGTCAGGATTGAAAACCTATCTCCACAAGTCGTCGCATCCATATTTGATGCCTGCAATCCCATCATATATTTCATAACTTCTGCTGATGAGTTTCGTCCATCGGTGGAGAACTTCCCATGCATTAGTGAAGGCACCTTTGCAAACAAACAACACGGATTTCTTGTACGAAGACGTCAATCCACTGGTGCTGGTGATGAAGTCCAGGCTGAAATCATGTTCAGCCCTGGTCTGTGTGACGTGCCTCTGGTTTCAACTTCTCATCTGCTTGTTTCGCTTGCTTATTCTCCTGAAACAAAGACTTGCTTTCCACAAATCAGCATCTCAAAATCAGCATTGCTTGCCCTCCAGACGTCTTGTTCCTTTAGCCGTATCATCAAGCAGAAACGGCTTTGTCGCTGGTATCGTTGCTGCCAAAACAAAGAAACGACCGCTTTACAGGGTTTCATACATGATCAGACATGATTTCTCGCTCGGTCTTTGCTGAGAACAGTTGTTGGTTCGATAGGGCTACCCCTTTTAACCATTGATTTCCCTCTCTCAAACATGCCCAATAACGATGATAATTTGGACCTCTCCGTGCTATACAAACTCCCCAGTTGGATTCAAATGAGTCCATCGGTGGAGAATTTCCCAGGCATTAGTGAAGGCACCTTTGCAAACAAACAACACGGATTTCTTGTACGAAGACGTCAATCCACTGGTGCTGGTGATGAAGTCCAGGCTGAAATCATGTTCAGCCCTGGTCCGCGTGACGTGCCTCTGGTTTCAACTTCTCATCTGCTTGTTTCGTTTGCTTATTCTCCTAAAACAGAAACTCGTTTTCCAATGCTATCTAACTTAATTATACCATCTGAGATTCAGAAAATGGAGGTTGCAGAAATGTTGAGTTGAAAGTGTACAAACAAGACAAAAAAAATCAAAGTTGGTCCTCATTTGCCGTCTTCTCCTTCGGCTTAATCTTATCATCTTTTCCGTGCACATCCTTAGAAGCTTCCTGGGGAGCAGCAGTTTCCACTGCTATCAGCGAGCTGAGGACGTGCTTCACGGTGCCTGGTTCCGTGGGCCCCGGGGCAAGCACCTCCGCCGCACTTGGGGGCACCGGTGATCCAGGAACTTCGTGCTCATCCAGCCCAGCTCCAAGTTCCACGTCCCGCTCCTATCGCATTCGCAACATGTCGCACCTAGGGGGATCCAACACGATTCCCACAATGTAATCCGCCGACCCCGGCCTTCGCCAAGGCAGGGGCGGCGCCTGGGACCACCGGAGGTGTGGAACCTGCTTTGTCACGGCCATGGCCCTCACATTGTCCAAGGTCGTTCCAGCAACAACTGCTTGTCTGTGTTTAAGCGGTTTGCCAAGCTTCAAAGGCCTCATCCAAGGTCGTTCCAGCATTTTCAGTAGCAACATCAACGATTTCTATGGGCCATATGAACAATAGCTGTGTGAAATTGCTAGAGGATAAGCATAGGGTCAAAACCTGGTGTATATACATATATGTATATGTATTTATATATAAATATGTATCTATGTATATATATATATATGTATATATATAAATATGTATCTATGTATATATATATATGTATATATAATATATATATATATACATATATATATATATGTGTGTATATATATATATGTATATATATATATGTATATATATATATATATACATATGTACGACCGTCAAAACTCAATTCATGTGGTGAGGTCATGGCATCGCTTCACAAGGCCCCCTATCGCTACACACAGTCCCAGCACCCTTTCACCAACTAGGCAGAATTGCTGCTAGAAGAGGAGGATCCAGATGAGGAATCGGATTCTTATTCCTTTTGCGCTGGTATCTCCAGGGAAATTCAAACTTTTACGTGATCACCAAGGCTGACGTCGACAGCTTCAGCTAGACACCAGCCGGACTCACTGCAGGTCATCTGACCTCGGAGGCTGCCCTTGGCTTGTGTTGGCTTGTCTTGGCTTGTCTTGCCTGTGCTGCCTTGTTTCCGGCACCTTTTTTTCTTCACCCCGCCTCCTTTGCAACCTAATACCACGCCAAAATGAATCGGCAAAACCCTGACCAAATGAACCCTTTAGTCATCTGCTTGTTTCGTTTGCTTAATTCTCCTAAAACAGAAACTCGTTTTCCAATGCTATCTAACTTAATTATACCATCTGAGATTCAGAAAATGGAGGTTGCAGAAATGTTGAGTTGAAAGTGTACAAACAAGACAAAAAAAATCAAAGTTGGTCCTCATTCCCCGTCTTCTCCTTCGGCTTAATCTTATCATCTTTTCCGTGCACATCCTTAGAAGCTTCCTGGGGAGCAGCAGTTTCCACTGCTATCAGCGAGCTGAGGACGTGCTTCACGGTGCCTGGTTCCGTGGGCCCCGGGGCAAGCACCTCCGCCGCACTTGGGGGCACCGGTGATCCAGGAACTTCGTGCTCATCCAGCTCAGCTCCAAGTTCCACGTCCCGCTCCTATCGCATTCGCAACATGTCGCACCTAGGGGGATCCAACACGATTCCCACAATGTAATCCGCCGACCCCGCCAAGGCAGGGGAGGCGCCTGGGACCACCGGAGGTGTGGAACCTGCTTTGTCACGGCCATGGCCCTCACATTGTCCAAGGTCGTTCCAGCAACAATTGCTTGTCTGTGTTTAAGCGGTTTGCCAAGCTTCAAAGGCCTCATCCAAGGTCGTTCCAGCAACAATGGCTTGTCTTTGTTTAAGCGGTCTGCCAAGTCTCAAAGGCCTCAAACGCGCCGCGGCAGCTCCCACGATCAAACCCTCCCGCAGGCCTTTCGAAGGCAACTCTCGCAGCTACACGCCCCAGCCATCTGTTTTCAAAGGCGTTCAAGCCTGCCGTTTGCCCGCCCTCAAACGCTTCAAACCCTTCAAACCCTCCCACAGGCCTTTCCAAGGCAACTCTCGCAGCTACACGCCCCAGCCATCTGCTTTTAAGGCCGTTCAAGCCTGCCGTTTGCCCGCCCTCAAACCCGTTCCAGCAACAATTGCTTGTCTGTGTTTAGGCGGTTTGCCAAGCTTCAAAGGCCTCATCCAAGGTTGTTCCAGCAACAATGGCTTGTCTTTGTTTAAGTGGTCTGCCAAGTCTCAAAGGCCTCAAACGCGCCGCGGCAGCTCCCACGATCAAACCCTCCCGCAAGCCTTTCGAAGGCAACTCTCGCAGCTACACGCCCCAGCCATCTGTTTTTCAGGCCATTCAAGCCATGGCTTCTTCTGGGCGGTCCAGCCTGCCGTTCGCTAGGCGTTACTCGCTTCAAACCCTTCAAACGCTTAAACCTCCGCTTGGCATGCTTAATCCCGCAGCCAACAGGCACCCCAAGGCCACATCAATGGCTTCTTCTGGGCGTCCAGGCCTGCCGTTTGCCAGGCCTTAAACGCTTAAAACGCTTAATACCCTTAAAACCCTGCAAAAGGTTCTCGGAACGCCCAACCGCGCAGGCAAAAGCTACCCCAAGGCCACATCAACGGCTTCTTCTGGGCGTTCAAGCCTGCCGTTCGCCAGGCGTTATACGCTTGAAACCCTTCAAACGCTTAAACATCTTCTTGGCATGCTTAATCCCGCAGCCAACAGGCACCCCAAGGCCACATCAATGGCTTCTTCTGGGGCCTTAAACGCTTCAAACGCTTAAAACCCTGCAAAAGGTTCTCGGAACGCCCAACCGCGCAGGCAAAAGCTACCCCAAGGCCACATCCATGGCTTCTTCTGGGCGGTCCAGCCTGCCGTTCGCCAGGCGTTATACGCTTGAAACCCTTCAAACGCTTAAACATCTTCTTGGCATGCTTAATCCCGCAGCCAACAGGCACCCCAAGGCCACATCAATGGCTTCTTCTGGGCGTCCAGGCCTGCCGTTTGCCAGGCCTTAAACGCTTAAAACGCTTAATACCCTTAAAACCCTGCAGAAGGTTCTCGGAACGCCCAACCGCGCAGGCAAAAGCTACCCCAAGGCCACATCAACGGCTTCTTCTGGGCGTTCAAGCCTGCCGTTCGCCAGGCGTTATACGCTTGAAACCCTTCAAACGCTTAAACATCTTCTTGGCATGCTTAATCCCGCAGCCAACAGGCACCCCAAGGCCACATCAATGGCTTCTTCTGGGGCCTTAAACGCTTCAAACGCTTAAAACCCTGCAAAAGGTTCTCGGAACGCCCAACCGCACAGGCAAAAGCTACCCCAAGGCCACATCCATGGCTTCTTCTGGGCGGTCCAGCCTGCCGTTCGCTAGGCGTTACACGCTTCAAACCCTTCAAACACTTAAACATCCGCTTGGCATGCCTCATCCCGCAGCCAACAGGCACCCCAAGGCCACATCAATGGCTCCTTCTGGGCGTTCAAGCCTGCCGTTTGCCAGGCCTTAAACGCTTAAAACGCTTAAAACCCTTTAAACACTTCAAAAGCTTCAAAAACCTCTTGGAACGCCCAACCGCGCAGGCAAAAGCTACCCCAAGGCCACATCCATGGCTTCTTCTGGGCGGTCCAGCCTGCCGTTCGCCAGGCGTTATACGCTTGAAACCCTTCAAACGCTTAAACATCTTCTTGGCATGCTTAATCCCGCAGCCAACAGGCCTGCCGTTTGCCAGGCCTTAAACGCTTAAAACCCTTAAAACCCTGCAAAAGGTTCTCGGAACGCCCAACCGCGCAGGCAAAAGCTACCCAACGCCACATCAATGGCTTCTTCTGGGCGTTCAAGCCTGCCGTTCGCCAGGCGTTACACGCTTGAAACCCTTCAAACGCTTAAACATCTTCTTGGCATGCTTAATCCCGCAGCCAACAGGCACCCCAAGGCCACATCAATGGCTTCTTCTGGGCGTCCAAGCCTGCCGTTTGCCAGGCCTTAAACGCTTAAAACGCTTAAAACCCTTTAAACGCTTCAAAAGCTTCAAAAACATCTTGGAACGCCCAACCGCGCAGGCAAAAGCTACCCCAAGGCCACATCCATGGCTTCTTCTGGGCGGTCCAGCCTGCCGTTCGCTAGGCGTTACACGCTTCAAACCCTTCAAGCACTTAAACATCCGCTTGGCATGCCTCATCCCGCAGCCAACAGGCACCCCAAGGCCACATCAATGGCTTCCTATGGGCGTCCAAGCCTGCCGTTTGCCAGGCCTTAAATGCTTAAAAGGCTTAAAACGCTTAAAACCCTGCAAAAGGTTCTCGGAACGCCCAACCGCGCAGGCAAAAGCTACCCCAAGGCTAGATCAATGGCTTCTTCTCGGCGTTCAAGCTTGCCGTTTACGACCTTTCTCCTTCACAACGCCGTCCTCGACAGAAACCTGGTTCCCACAGACCGTTCGATGGTTTATTTGCCCTGTCTTCACGTCACTGGCCACATTCCCTTTGCAAGCGGGGCAAATGTAAACATACGCTTTCTCCTTCACAACGCCGTCCTTCACAGAAAACTGGTTCCCACAGACCGTTCGATGGTTTATTTGCCCTGTCTTCACGTCACTGGCCACATTCCCTTTGCAAGCGGGGCAAACGTAAACATACGCTTTCTCCTTCACAACGCCGTCCTTCACAGAAAACTGGTTCGACCGTTCGATATGTTCGATGGTTTAAATGCCCTGTCTTCACGTCACTGGCCACATTCCCTTTGCAAGCGGGGCAAATATAAACATACGCTTTCGCAACAACCTGCGCGTCCCACACCTGGAAACGGTTACCACATGCGCGCCGGTGATTTACCTGGCCCGTGCGTATACTGCTCCTCAAGACTTTTGGCAAGCGGGACAAACATATTGGAAACTCTTGCCTTTCCTCGCTGCTTTTGCTTCATTTGCCAGCAACGTCACCGTCTCCGTCGCGCTGGCATTGTTCTGCTGTTTGCAGCTCATTTCTGCCTGCCTGTCTGTGCTTCTTTCTGTTCCATCGTCTTCTCTACGTTGCTTTGCGTGCGGCGGGGCTTCCTGCATTTGGGCGATATCCTGTTCTCTTTTCCGTTTTCGTTCCACGACGGCAGCCCAACCATCAGCCATCGGCCGCACCGCCCTCTTCCTTCCGTTGCTGTCTTCCCGTTTGCCACGTACATCTGCAGGCCCTTCTGTGGTCATTTCTGTTCCGTTCTCTTGTCTGTGATGTATTGCCTTCGGCCCTGCTGCCTTCGTTTGGGGGCTCTCCTGTTCTCTATTCCGTTTTCGTTCCGCGATGGCATCCCAGACATCGGCAATGGCGCGTGCCATTCTTTCTTCCGCTGCCCTCCTCGCATCCACAACATCTTGATTTGATTGTGGCCACATTTTTGGTTAAAAAACCATATACCTATATACGGAGGTTTGATATGGTATACCTGAAGCCCTGAGTTATGGGATGTTTATATAGTTATAGATGTATAAATATATATATATATATTTATATATATATCCCAATTCCGCCCGACCTTAGTGGGTGCCAGATCCGCCAGATAGAGTCGTAGTTCATCGCAATCGATGGCGCCCAGCGGCATGGCTAGAACCGCAGGCGGCACTCTGCGCTTTCCTTCCTGCTCCCTTGAAAGGGGGTCGGCGGCACCAGGCAGTTAGCCCATTCTAGAACAATATATAACAACCATCAACCTACCCAACTAGGGCTTACCTTCAGTTGATTTGTCATTTGCAGCATCTCAAAACCAGCATTGATTGCCCCAGACGTCTTGTTCCTTGCTGCTGGTATCGTTGCTGCATGTTGCTGCCATACACTGCTGAAAACAGTTACCCCTCTTAACATCTCTTAACCATTGATTTCCCTTTTTCAAACATGACCAATAACGATGATCATTTGGACCTCCTCGTTCTATACAAGCTCCGCAGTTGAGCTGTGTCTTTTTTGGTTGTCTGGGCCCTTATACTCCTGCTTTGCCTACGCCGCTGTCTACGCAACGCCTACGCGGCCGCAATGGGAACCTACGCGGATCATGCCTTTGAAGGCTACGCAGGGCCAACGCCGGTGTAAAACGATGCCAAAACGTACTTTTAACCTACGCTGTCACACTCCCGGCTGCTTTTGGAAATCTGGAAACGGAACTTTTGCTTACGCGACCACAGTTCCATCAACATTTTGCTAAGTGGCATGCCTTGCGGCACCTTGCAGGGGCACCAGCCAGCAGGCTCCAAACCGCACCCTGCTCCCTGCAGGCACAAGCACCCAGACTCCAAAGCGCCCATAGACATTTTGCAGCCACACCAGCACCCAGGTTCCAAAGCGAACACTAAAGATCTGGCAGATAGATCACTGAAGGCTCAGCTAGTCATTATTGACTATGCTGGAGTCAAGCCAAGCAATGGGTTCGACTGTCACTAGCTTGGTTTCAACGTGCCGAAGGGCGGTTTGGGCAGTTCAATGCGTCGAATCTGGACTCATTCGCACGTGGGCTGGTGGTCAGTCTGCACACCCGAGCCTACACGCGAAGTCTACGCGAAGCCTACGCTTGTTGCAGGGGTCCCCTGGCAGAAATCTGGTGAAACATTCCGTTCAAGCAAGAGCCTTATGGTCCTTACAGCAACAAGCAGCTGTAAAGCTGCCCTTGTATAGATGCTCTGCCGGGCGGGTTCCGCGGTTTGCTCGTATAATTAGACGACTATCCATGAATGAACCTGGTGCCTTTGAACCTTTTGTGGATAACATTGGATCAATTTGAAAGCGTGAGCTTGCAACGCGGATCATGTACGAGCAATTGAAATACTGTACAATCAAATTGTATAAAATTGTCGCCTACGCGAACCAGAAATATGTGGAACCTTGAAAAATATGCCTACGCCAATCCTACGCATTCCTTGCGCCAGCCATGTAAAACCACACCGAAAGCAACATCCAGTTTAAGCTGCAGATAAACCCCTTCATATTTAAAAAGAAACGTAGCTCAGTTGGATTCAATTGAGTCCTCCGGCGGCATTGCCACGATCTTTTTTGGAGGCCTTGAGGCTCTCTTCGCTCTTTTCTTCTTGGTGGCCTGTGCGCGCGGGCGTCCTGTTTGAATAAACTCTAAGAGACCTTATTCGAAGACAAGACTTCGAATATGTAAATCTCAACACAATCAGTACATCGAGGGTTTCACGCAAAAACATCCCACAACCACATTACACCAAACCCGTTCATTTCAAAAGTGTGGAGACCGTCTTACCTCATTGGCTGTGGCGTTGTAACTTGTCTAAATATGTCCAAATTCTAAATGCCCGACATCCATGCGACAGCGATGAGGGTCCAGCCGCAGTCCAGCAAAAATGCTCATCCTCAATCCCCAAAATGTGAATCTTCCAGATAAGTACGGTGCTTTCAGAAACACCTGCTTTCAGAATCATGTTTGTCCACTTCCAACTTACTGTTTTGATCTCACAATTCGAAGGGAAATCCCGAAGCTACAAATTGCAATACAAATCACCCGCCTGTTTGCGTGGTGCTGATTGTGCCTCGCTTGCGGAAACCTACGAAGGCAGCTAAGGCCAAAGGTCCAAACCAACACTTTTGACTCTTTGATCGAGAATCTCTCTGAGATATAGATGTTTGAATAGTTTACAGCGGCATTTTATTCTCAATGGATCTTTTGCAGGTAATGTATACCAGCAATCAAAAAGAGGTTTCCTGATAGTTTGCGCAACTATTTTTGGAATTCGTACAGAGAAAATGATATCTGGATAAACCATGATAAACCATGATAATCATGATGTAGCAAACTGAATCAAGGCCTTTTTGGATAGTGATACTGGTTTGGTTTGTGGTTTGTGGTGAAACAACATGTTTCAACCCGATTTTTTTTGCTGATATTTGGGATCATCCTCCCAAAATGGCTGGTCCTCCGGAATTGTTTTGGAAATTTTGTTTTCCGTTTCGTGATTGTTTTGGGGTCTGCTCGTTTTCCTTGCAATGTGCAGCATTTTGGAGCTGGAAGCTGCCATTTCAACGGTATTGCAACATTTTGGAGTTCGAACCTCTCATTTTCCATGGTCTTTGCAGCACTTTGGTGCTCAAACTGCTCATGCTGGATGATATTTTGCGACTAGGGGCCATTTAGGTTTGTTTTAGGGTTTATTTTTGGTTTAGGGTTGGTTTAGTTTTAATGGTGGGTTGTGTTTTTAGTTTGGGTTGGTTTTCGGGTTCGTGTGGGGCTTATTTAGGGATGGTTTAGGATCTATGTAGGGTTGGTTTTAGAGTTTATTTAGGGTAAGATTCAGATCTTCAGGCGTGGTTCGAGATTTATGTAGGATCTATTTAAGGTTGGTTTAGGTTTTAGGGATTATTATTTATTTAGGCGTGGTTTAAGATTTGGGGTGGGTGAGGGATCTATATATTTAGGGTTGGTTTAGGGTCTATTCAGGATGAGTTCCAGATTTGGGGCTTGTGTAGGGATTACTAGGGTTGCTGTTGTTTTTGTTCGGGGCGTTAGTGTGGGTTTAGGGTTTGTTTGGGGTAAGTTTCAGAGCTTAGGTTTTTTTGGTTTACTTAGAGTTGCTGTTGTTTTTTTTGGCGTTGGTTTGGGATTTAATTTGGTGTTGGTTTCGGGTGTTTTTGTCTTCTCATGCGCATCTTGGGGTTTATTTAGGCTTGAGAAGCAAAAATGCACAACAAAAAAAAGAAGCAGAACAGTGGAGAAGCAGAGAAGCAGAGTAGTATAAAGGCAGCCGTGAAAAGTAGAAAAGCAGAAAAGCCCAAAGCAAAGAAGCAGAAAAGCAAAGAAGATGGGAAAGGAAGAAATCCAACAAAAAATGACCAAAACGGGACAAAAATCATAATTCCCCCCAAAAAGGCCTCCATCATCAATTGCTAGGTCTGGATCATATTACTGTAACTAGTGGATGACAATCCCTAAATATCATGATGGTATTCACCCCATGATATCTCCATTATATCCAGCACCTCAATGTCCGGCAGCCCCAGTTCGACATCTTCCTGTCGCCAGCTGTTTAGGGCTACAGATGGCTACAAACATTAAAGGGGCCTGTGGTCCAGTGTGTCTGTAGTGTTATTCACTTACATAATATACATCACTACTATGAAGATATCATAATATATAAATGAATGAATAAATAAATAAGTAAATAACTAAATAAATAAATAAATATATAATATATTTATATGCAGAGATAATGCATGTATGTATGAATGACATGGTATGGTATGTGATGTAATGATGTGATGTGATGTGATGTAATGTGATGTAATGTGATGTAATGTGATGTAATGTGATGTAATGTGATGTAATTTGATGTAATGTGATGTACTGTGATGTCATGTAATGTATTGTACTGTAATGTAATGTAATGTATTGTAATGTAATATATTGTAATGTAATGTAATGTCATGTATGCATGTATGTATAACTGTGGAAAATCCGGTCCCTGTGGGTGGTTTATAGCATGTTCTATAGTTTCTATGGTATTCAATTCGACTCCCCCGTTCCGTCATGCATGCAGTAAGTCATGATCGAATATCTTCACATAAACCAATCTGAAAACACAGAGTCTGCAAATTCAATCCACTAATCGACCCAAATCAACAGACACAACTGCAAGTCCAGCCTGAATTTAATAAATATCGAATATCTAAGAACATCTGTTTATAAGCACAACTCTTTGCTTATAAACTCAGCCTGCGAAACTTGACACATCATGGTTTCCCCTATTTTCCCCATTCATTTTTTTAGTCCATGTCAAGTTGGGAAATTGGGGAAATAGAGGAGATAGGGACCTCTCATGGCTTGAGGCACCTTGAAGCCAAAACCATCTGGGACTCTCTCGTGGTTTTGTGTTTCCCCAAATTGGGATAATAAGGGTGCTAGGGAATAACCAAAACCCTTTCATGGTTTGAAACCTGGGACCTTCTCATGGTTGAAGCAAGGGAAGCAGCTCTTCTCATTGACATCTGGGCGAATGCTTATAAGCAACTGATAAGCAAACCGTTTCATGAATAGCATGATTTTGTTTGTTTGGTTTAAAAACAGTGTTGCAATCTAAGAAGATCAAGCTGCCAACATCATAGTGATGTGCCGTGCTGGGTTTGCAGCGTACTGCAGGAGATGTCCAGTCGTTACAAAACCAACATGACATGGAAATCAGAGTGTCGATGTCATGCGATATCATTGCTTGCAGGGAAACTGTTCTTGCAGAACCAACCCGGCCGGTTACGCAAAGTCATCCCAAACTGTCGTCCTGATTATTTCCACAATGGGCTGGCCCAAGAAATACGAACACCTTATTTCTTTGGACGCTGGACTTTCTTTCACGTGGCACCTGTACATATCTATGATGCGTATGCAGAATAATGGGTTGCCGGGGCGTTTTGCGGTCATGATGCAACTACTGTGCAGTCTGTGGTTTTCCAGACTGTCGACAGCCTCAGACAATTTATAGTTGGAAGAGTTGCGATTTGGCATCTTAATCTAACAGCCAAACTGCCCGGTGCACGGAGGTCCGTTGGGTTTGTTTTAAGGGAAAGGCGTGTAATATAGCTGTTAAGGTATAGAGTCTAGAGACTGCATCACGATATTCATCACTGTTCCGAAGGGTGCAATTTGAGATGTCAGCTCGTTACCATCCCCCAGTCATCACCATTTTTATAGGTGCTATGTTTACCATTGCCAGTCATGGGTGGTTTATATTTTTTTAAAACCACATTAAATAAAGTTACCCTCTGGTAAACTAACATTTTGCTATGGAAAATCACCATTTTTAATGGGAAAATCCACTATAAATAACCATTTTCAATAGCTATTTTGACATAACCAGAGGGTACCATATACATGGTCTTTGCCACATATTGTGGAGCTGATTCTCCTTTGATCCCACCGCCAATGGGTTGCTGTAGCCTGACTTTTTGGCGAAAAAAATCCTAGAAACTTTAGGCCAAAAACCAGCGGAAATTCGGCCTCATAAAATCAATCACTTGAAGACTTGGTATAATGAGGTATACGAATATTTGTCAAGAGGCTGTGGGTCAAAACCCTGTACCCCTGGTGAACATCAAAATAGCTGGTAAATGGATGTTCATCCCACTAAAAATGGTATTAATAGGTATTGACCCATCCCCATATTTGTCAAGAGTATTGCTAACTGCAAGAGGTCTCAAGAGTCGAAGCCCGATTCTGAAACTGACAGCGTGACGACAGCACTGCTGATAGAACAAGTGTGCACTAGTTTTGAAATGTGCAACTTTGCAAGATGATGCAACATGTTCCAGATCCAAAATGATGAACAAGATCAGCAAACAGCAAAATCTTCCATGGTCAAAAAATGATATACGTAGTACGGTCATCCATTCCACAAAGGGAATCCTTACATCATGAAATGCAATGAATATTATATTATATCATATCATATCATGTTATATTATATTATATTATATATTATATATTATATATTATATATTATATATTATATATTATATATTATATATTATATATTACATTATATTATATTATATTATATTATTTATATATTATGTTATATTATATTATATCATATTATTATATACTATGTGTAAATCCCTATGAAACTGATTGAACATGCAGTGATGAGTCCCCCCAAATAATGGCTTAAATCATCCATCTAGCTTCACCAGTCACCGCCTCCGTGATCGGTGGAATCGGTTCTGGAGAAGGGCCAGAAGAAGCCATTGCAGCGAACTGTGAGACTGTTGCACGTTGCCAAAAAAGCCTACTATAGTAACAGCTGCAAATCATGTAAGTATATAAATATATGCATACTATTATGATAATATCATGTAGCATCACTGATGTTGTTCACCTTGTAAAACTATGCTATGTTCAACAAAATCCAAAAAATGTGTGTGGTCTCCATTGAACTGCAAAAAAAAGAACCAGGGCCACGTTTGGCACACTCTAAACAGAAGGAACTGAGATCTTGTTGCGGTTGCTTCGACAGTGCACCAACTCAATCAGCAAAGAACGTGTGTGTGTGTGTCTCCTTGCTTCGATAAGGCCGGTTTGCCCCATCAAGACGTGGACTTAGAATGACTTAGATACACTTACAAGCATGGCGCAACTTCTAGATCTTCCAGATCTTCCAGGCTCCATCCCATCCAGGCGCGCGCGTTATCCCAGCACATTTTTTCTGCGTCATTGAATCTCTTTGAGCATGGATCGAGTGACCTGTCGCAGAGGCTGCCACCGCAACGGTGAAAATCCCTGACTCTGAGACTCATCTGATAAGGCATAACTGGCCGGGTGAGAGAAAAATCTGGTGGTTTTAAGACCGACGTTTGGGATATAGTTATCCTATGGATTCCTATGGTTATCCGATATAAGTTTATCCACTTTTTGGCCAGTCCCAGATATTCCCAGATGGCCAAAATTGCCACAGCAACTTTCATATCGACATCTTTCCGAAGTTGCAGGCTACCTGTCACACAGCACTATCTCTGAATCACAGATCACCTGTCAGACTTTGGTGGAACCTAAAATCAAAAGCAACACCTAGACTGATTTCCGATTTCATCCTAGAACATGCGCATAATGAGCATATAAATCCTTCCAAATTGATGTTCAACAACATCAGAAAGCAGCCATCGAATTCCACCAGCAGCTGCCTTCACCCCTACGGTTTCCTTCATCAGCTGCTCATCATCAATCTCCCAAACCTCCCATGATGGACCAGATTTTTTCTATGATCGTGTCCTGTCCTGTCGCATACAAACCCTTCAGCCCACAGAGTCACAGCCGCTCATCGTGAGTGATCTGAAACATGATCTGGCTATGGATCAATACCTATAGATACAGTTTATTAGGGGATGAACATCCATTTGCCACCTATTTTGATGTTCACCAGGGCTACATGGTTTTGACCCATCTGAAACCTGATGGTTTGGTGGTTTCAAACCTGACCTGACTTTGGTCAAATACCAAAGCCCTGGTGCTGAAGAAATGTGCTTTTCAAGTCCAGTGAAGTCATGTAGAATCAAAAAAAACGGTTCAGAACTCTGCCCCATATAATAATCATGATACGATCATATCTGATCTATAGGTAGAAATCACCACCAAATTCATCGGCTTCGCAAACCTACTGTGAATGGATAAACAAATGGTATGCCATGGTATGCCTAACTCCATGGTGATAACAGGGTTATAACATGGTATGCCACCCACTTAGTAACCAGGAATCGCTCATCCCATGGCCCATGAGAGCGCCTTGGGATCAAAGATCAGATCCATCATCTTCTCGATGTCCTGACCAATCCTCGGTGAAAGGGTCGCTGGCAGACTGGCATTTCTTGTCTTTTTCACTGCAGAATATGGGATTTTATGGGGTTTTATGGAAGTTGATTAGCAATTTTCTGGGGACCTTTGATGAAATGACTGAACATGCCCTGTGCCCCTAAATCCGCTGGTTTATCAGATCATTTTCCCTCCATCCAGATGATCGTAGGATGAATCCCAGTACCTGAACATGCCATGAATCGAAATTGCTTATAAATGATGGTTGCAGCCCTTTCTCAGCAAAGATATGGTCAATCATGCTCAAACATTAATGTTATTTTTTGTAGGAGGATGAAACTTGGATGTTTTTATTTGGTTAAATTCAAATTCACAGTATTGGGGGCTTTTTCTAAAAAAAACAAACACGGAACTTAGTTGCTCCATAGTACGTAATGATACGTCTCGATGTACGTAATGATTATCACCACATCTTGATACGTCTCGAAGCATGTCTCGATCGAAGCATGTCCGCGACGACTCGTTAAGACTGCCCAGCTTCAACCTCTTCTCCAGTGAAGTGAAGATGGCTACGGCCAGCTTGACAAAGATCTGTGCCAATGATGCTGGTGTTCTTGCGCAAATCCGAAAACTAGACCCATGAAAGAAAAAGGCTGTGTCTAGACTATTTGAATGTATTTGAATCTTTACTTTGCTTTCTGTTGGTTCTACGTTTTCGATAAAGATTGAAGACGTTTCATTTGATATGGATCCAGAAAGGGTAAGAGAATAATCGAAGGACGAGGATATGCTTGGTGCATGGTTAGGGTGCTTCGAATCACCAATTTTGAGATAGCGCAGATAAAGATGCAGATAGCAGCCATGATATTTTTGCGTCGCGTCCGCATTTCGATGGCTTGAATTCTCACCCAGTTTGGTCTCTTTGTATGCGTCTTCCTCAGTCGCTAATGTATTCCTTTACCTATTTTCATAGGCTACCCATGATGCCATGGCTATCCCATTATCATTCCATCCACTGGTGAATTGAATGGCCATCATGGCCATCAGTCCAAAATTCAGCCGTTCAGACCCATCTGGCTGGGCAAAGGCCTTGAGGGACCTTTCGAAGATGAAGTGATCCTGAAGCGAGTCGGCTCAAATGTCAAAATTCAGCGATAAATGGCGTGCAAGATCTTTGTTTCATGGGACACAATGGGATATAATTAACAGATTCTACCCATGTTAACACGACAAAATTCCACTTCTCCATGTTGGCGACAACCCCAAATTTGGTGCTTCTGTTCGAACATTTGATGCGAACAGGTCGCATGATCCTCATGATTTGGTGATCTCCACCATGGTCATCATGCTGGTGAAACTGTAGGCTGATAAATCCCATATGTTTCATGATGAACCATGGGGTTTAGCCCATGGGGAAGCGAAATCTTCATAGGCCAAAAATCGTGCCATCATTAAACACCCCCCATGAACAAAAAAAACACAACATGGTTTAGTAGAGATTTCAGCCAGAGATTTCCATAGATTTGGGACCGATCCTCGGTGCTTTTTTTTGGTAATCGGCCAAACCAAGCGTCCATGATCCGCAGCTGCAACTCTACGCTGAGACAGCCTTGAAAGAGGCCTGCGATGTCCGATCCACAAGGGATGAGCCACCCAAAAAAAAAATCACACGAAAACCACCAACCAGCTGCCAGTCAATGGGAGATCTTCAGGATCCAATTGATGGAGGTACGTTGGTACCATATTTCTGGCCCCGAAATTTAGGCCTGACAAATAGGCCTTATATATGGTAGGTACCTCCAATTTAGGTTCCTGGAATGGCCATTGAGCCAGTGTATGTAACAAATGTATGTAAATATACAATGTCTATAGATGGATACGTTGAAACCCAAACAGTTAGTACAACATGTTCAGCTCATAGCTGACCTCCAGGTTCGAAAATGAAAATGATTTTCCATTTACATCCCGCCATGAGATTGTTCAGCCGTTCCCAAGAGTCCGTTTCAAATGGGTTATGGTGGGAATGTCATGGTGATCAGTCATGATGGAGTTACTCAGTTACTCATGATGGGTGTAGATGGCTTCATTAAGATATGTGTGATATAGTTGTGGATACTTTTGGCTGGCTCATGATAGTAATATCCTATAATATATATATATATATTAGTTATATGTATGAAGGCTTATAATATGATATCTCACAAATCATAACAATGTCAGTGTTTTTGCAATCATGAATCATCATCAAGACTAAGTGATTTTGGCCAGTGGATAGCAACTATGGTGAAGCGGATGGTCATTCTGGTCCACCGGCCTGGCAGGATTAGCCTTTTGGATGCCCCAATTTAACCGTGGATTGAAACATCCCTTTCTTGAAGAATTTTGGGGGACCCAGTCTGAGTTCTGCAGTAGTTTAGAGATGTTTGGAGAATTGTAGGAAATAGATATGGCTCAAATAGTTTCTTCATCATCATTCCAAACTTCTCCGGAAAAAAAAGAAAAAGACAAGAGGCTCCAAAAAAGGGTGGTTCTTCGGTCACTGGATTTTAGAAGCTTTCCATAGTTTTTCCCAACATTTGCAGACATATCATGACTTCCAAAAAACAAAAACATCCAGCGGTACCTTGTATCCAGCGGCAGTAGAAGAGCTCAGGAGCCAAGCCTTCGCCCATCATGTGGCGGAACCTCGGAATGGTTCTGCTGACGCCATCAAGAAACGAGAAAATCCACTGGAGTTTCTGTGTGTTTATAGGATTTTGTTTAATGATTCCCTGGGTGGACGTGCTTGATAAACATATTTCAATGATTTTCAATGCTTGCTCCGAGAAATTGCTAATTGACGTATATATCATATCTAATTCTCTAATCATCTGCTGTTCCGATGATATTCCAACAATGGTACAAACGGCTCTGGCTCAAGTCGTCAAGTGCACCTAAAATTGAATGGTATTTCCTGCGAAATTGAGCAACATCTGCGGTCTGGGGTGCCGCAAAGCGTGCCCCATAGTCGATACCCATGCCCTTTGGATGTGCACCACAAGAGGCGACACATTTTGTGGATGGTTTAATGATAGAATTGTTCCAAACTGGGGCAAATGTTGGGAAGCAGTGAGCAAACAACCAACTATTGTTATAGGGAGGCCCCGGATGAAATCATGAAAAACTAAGGATGTTCATAAACCCATTTTCTGAAATGAGCCATTCTTGGAAACAATGATGGTGTTGCTGATTTCACCATGCATCAAGACAACAAGTGCAAATTGTTTGTCAGCAGCGTTGGTACTTTATTCCCGCTATTGTTGGTGACATGACGGTTTCTGCGTTCTCGATGCAGGCGCTACTGTTGGTAGTTAGTTAGTAGTTTGTTCTAAGATTCTAAGGCACAAGTAGCCATGAACAAAACATGTAAAACAAGCCTGCCTTCACAATGAAGCCTAAATCCGTGACGAACATCTGGTGGTCACTGGGAAGTTGCTGACCGTTGCGCAATAGGCGGTTCACACTGAGCAGGAGAAAGAGATCTGTTTTTGATAGTTCTCCCCATGATGGGTGGTTCTGTCCCCAATTCTGGTTGGCTGTGTCCCCAATTGTTGCTGGTTACAACCCGAGGATTGTTGGATCTTGAACTATGACCACTTGTTCAAGAAAGAAACACAATTCAAAGCAGCAGGGTCTCGGATAGCTCCAGAAGAACTTGCAGTTGGCCCATAAGAATCGGTCAACATTCGTTTGTCTGAAAATGGGTTGTATACCGCAGAACGGCCCAAAATGATGGGGACAATGATGATCAAGTATTAAACTGGGGGATAGCGTATTTTCAGATAAATCCACATGAGTCATGGTCAAAAGATGGCATTTGTCCTAGTGTCATCCATCCCACAATGGATATCCTTATCATGGGTACGCACACTGGATTGAGGAGCATCCCCATTTTCCATGAGGCTTTCTTAAAATGGGGGATCCCCAAACCATGGGTTTCAATGCTAAAATTGTTTACCCTCTGGTAAACTAACATAGCTATTGAAAATTGCAATTTATAGTTGTTTTTCCCATTAAAAAAGGTGATTTTCCATAGCTATGTCAAATTACCAGAGGGTAATGTTGGATGATTTGGGGTACCCCTATTCTAGCAAACCTCCATTGAGCAATTCATCCAAGTTTTGATTATGACACACATGACCATCTCATGTTTTCTCTTGGCCCTCCGACAGGTTAGGCAAATGCGCTGCAATGACGACCTTGCGACAATCAAAGAATGACCCGGAAGTAACTATAGAAGACACCAAACAAATGGGCAAGTAAATCATCACTATTTTAGTAGGATTCTACATATTCTACTGTTCTATCTCTTCGGGAATTATTGTAATTCTATGGTCTTCAATGGGAGCACCTCAAATTCTACAAAATGGAAAAAGTTTCTGCCTTTCGGCCCGTGCTTTTCGGGCCCTGAGAAAATGGAAAAAGTTTGACCAGATCATCACCCCTAGAGTTTAGGCTGCCCAAGTTCCAGCTGAAGCCTTTTAAAGGTAAATAGCTCCCCTCACAACATCTCACCTGCAGGGGAGCTTCCACTGCGATATTTCACCAGCAAACTCCCCCCAACTATCCAAAGTGATATTGGTCAAGTCGTGTATCCCAATACTGAAATCTCCTCTGCTTGGGCCATGTGGGGAGGATTCCCCATTTTTTCGAATACGGGAACCCTAGTGACGTCACGATGTGAGGTCATTCATCCATCCAGATGAAATCACGATTTTTGTTGGTTAAGTCTCATTAATGTCCAATAAAATCCCATTAGTAAATCTCATCAAATCCTCATAAATTCACAGTTATTGTAGTAACTAGACCCAATCTGAGGTCCCCAAATCTCTTGTTGACACATACCCAGTGGCAGCTGCTGGTGTTTCACCACCGGTTCACCTGAAAGTAGCGACATTGCATCACCAGCCAAGGCCTCAGTTGACTCCCCTTGAGGAAACAATACATCTTCTTGGTCTCCGTCTACGTGAAATAAGGTGCTTGTGTAGCAGCAGTTGCTACATGTTGCTATCCATAAAATGGCAGGTCATATCACCCAGCCCAGCCTTAAATAGACCGACACAACTTTGAAACTTCCCCGACTTCCCCTTGCGACTTCCCCTTGCGACTTCCCCTTGCGACTTCCAAGCAATCCGAGGGGCAATGCAGCATCCGACAGCAACCACAACCTGGTTGCTGGTCAACAAAGGCTGGCTCCAACTCTCATCCCCCTACTAAAGATATTGAACATCCCCAGAAGCCATGGTTTTGTGAGAAACTTGAACGGGGGATGGGATTATATAGTATTTATTCCCATCGTTCGTGATGAATCGATTTGATTCCTAATATCCCAATTCATCATTTATAATCCCATTACCATGAATGATTGGAATACAACAAACTCTGATACGGAACATGAAATTCCCTAATGCTTTGCATGGTATTTTCATATTTTTTTCTCGCCAATGTCAAGTGCCGATCAAGAACCACCCTGCTGCCCATGTTGGGATCACTTGGATTTCAGCACAGAAAGGTTCGTTGAGATTTTTCCCAGTTTTTCCATCGTTCTTTTGTTTGGAACATGAATGAACATGAGACACGTGGGTATTGGGATCTCCAAACTACGAAAAACTGGTCTTTTGTTTGATATGCTTTTTTGCAGGGTCATGTTTTGATTTCAGGCAGGACTTCCACACAAATGCTTATCAGCCTTAAACGTTTTAAACATCCGACAAAAGGTCCAAGTCTCAAATGGTCACTTCCACATTATGAAGGTCTCTTAAAATGGAGGTACCCTCAAATCATCCAGTCGTCATGGATGACCATGTTAGTATTGAAATATATTGAAACGACCAAACAGTGACGATTGGATTTGCCATGACTTGGGATGGCTCCCAGCTCCATCACTGCTCAGCACTGTACCCATCCTGGCTCCCAGCTCGCCTTTGGCAGTGCCACGGATCCTGTAGCAATCCGTCCAGGACTTTGCTTGGAAGCCTGGGAAATCCCCGTCGTCTATGAATTCATGGTATTCATAGGGATCTCCATGAATGTTACATGGATTTTGTTGATATTTATTGTAGTGGGCTGGGTTTATATGAATTTATGTATATATATATATATGTTTTTTTAAATAAAATTATGGATGGTATATGGATGTAAAAGGATGTTTATCCCTCAAATTGATGGTATAATTAAGTGTATTTCATAGCTTCTGATCTATAGCCAGTTCTAGAACTGTGGTTTACTGTATATTAATTGTATGAATTCAAGACCTTTTCAGCATCTTTGTTGGGGGTACCACACGAATTTGATCACTAGCGAAAGACATCATGAATGTTTATGAATGATATGAATGGTATGCCAAGAGGGTTTAGAGATAGAATCCATATCCTCAGATCCAGTCTGCTGTGGTCCATACCATGGATGGAACCCAGACAGTCGAGACACGCACGGGGCAACTATCAGAGTGCTGTTGCCAACACAGATTTACCCTCTGTTTCTCGCATTTGAAACTGAACGTTGGATGGTATCACAACCAACTTCCATGAGCCCCAAAACCTTCACATCAGGGCCTATGTGATTCACCAATTCACCACCCAACAGACCGGCCTCTGCAAACCCAGGGCCTTTGCCAACTTCTGCATGGATCCGGTCGCCACCTCTTCGGCTGTGGCAACAGCTCTAGCAGTGTGAATTCACTTCACCAAGGTGATATACCCAAAAAGTCTTGCGAAGCTTCACTGTTGACTGTCCCAATTATTTAATGATTAAAAGTGATTAAATCATGCATTTAGAAAAAATAACAATATTCCATGACTATCCCATATCCGGTTGTTTCCCCAGTTAAATCAGCCAGTTCTTCCAACCTTTATAGTAGTACCCTCCGGTGTCATCAAACGTGGCAATGTGGGAAATAAATCCTCCATGGAGGTTTCTGGCTGGAAAAATCATCGAACTAAATGGTGGATTTTCTAGCTGGCTACATTCAATGACACCGGTTCCAGCTATTTCTCTGGGTGATAAGATGCACAGATTTTCCCTTCTGACTAGTCATTGTCCAGTTGTAGTTATATCAATTTGTCTTAATATTCCATTCCTATCCAGTATTCCAGTACTATCCATTTATCCAAAATTTCAGCTAGATCACCCAGCTTTCTCATTCAAAATTCACTTCTAGCCAGTGGTCATTATCCATTTTTTTGGTTTATTAACATATATTATATAGCTTTATTAATTCATCATTTATTGTATAACTAACACTAACTTATTTTATTATTCTTGACCCTGACGTTTTTTTGACCTAACATTATCCATTTATCGTCAATGTCCTATTTTAACGTATATTGGTTAATTATATTCACTACCATATATTATATTAACATATATTAACATCATTGACATATATATATATATTAATATATAATTACGTATATTCACATCATATTGGTCAAAAACTCTATACATTTCATCGTCAATTTCCTATTATTCTTGACCCAAAATTCCCGAAATCTGACCCGCACCTCCAGGCTAGGTGCAGCACCCCCTAGGCCGCTGGACAAGCGCGAGAGGCTGCCGGAGGCGTCGCACCTGGGACTGCTTGGATGTTTTGGGAGTTTTTCGCAGGAAAACTAGGGGGATTTCACGGAAATGACACCAGCTTCAACAAAGAAAGTTAATTAAAAAAAACAAAAACTTAAATGATAAAAACCAAAATCAAAAACAGAATCACCAAAACGACGGGGGGGCCTGAGAACCCAAAAGCAAAACGACAGCAAACAAATTTGAGTAATACTGATAATTGGTTTATTCTTTTTTCGCCTCTTGCCAGCTTCTTTTTAGAAGATGAACATTATGGACGCATTCACTGCAAATTTCATTTTTCCCCACCTGCCAGGTGACGGTTGTTAGATTTTATCAGAGTTGTTCTCCTCGGCTAGCTGTCCTCCTCGTCCTCGTCCTCCGCCTTCTCCTCCTCCTCTGCCTCCTCCTCCAGTTTCTCCTCGATCATGTCTGCATCAACTTCCACCTCAACTTCCGCCTTGCCAACTCTTCGCCAAGCTCTTTGCCAACTTCCCACCTCAGTGTGCACCGCTGGACCTCAACCTGGGACCAAACCAGCTCAGTGTGCACGGCTGGACCTCAACCTGGGACCAAACCAGCTCAGTGTGCACCGCTGGACCTCAACCTGGGACCTTCCCAGCTCAGCGTGCACCGCTGGACCTCAACCTGGGACCTTCCCAGCTCAGTGTGCACTGCTGGACCTCAACGGCCAGATAGAATACCAGAAGATATGCCAGATAGAGTGTTAGAAGATATGTCAGATAGAATGCCAGAAGATATGCCAGATAGAATGCCATGAGCTATGCCAGATAGAATGCCAGAAGCTATGCCAGATAGAATGCCAGAAGGTATGCCAGATAGAATGTCAGATAGAATGACAGAAGGTATGCCAGACAAAATGTCAGATAGAATGCCAGAAGACTTTGCAAGTAACAAACGTTCAAATAGCTACTGGTGGGGATAACTCGAAGTAAAGTAATTTCAGCTCTGCGCGGAAACATTGAGTGACAGTGTGCAATAGCCAAGCAAGCTCATTTGAGCACGGTCATGCGACGGCGGCTGATTTCCAAATCAACCTCTCCTTTCCTTTCCCTTCCTTCCCTTCCTTCCCTTCCTTTTCCGTCCTTTCCCTTCCTTTCCCTTCCTTTTCCGTCCTTTCCCTTCCTTTCTTTCCCTTTCTTTCCCTTCCTTTCCCTTTCTTTCCGTTCCTTTCCCGTCCTTTCCATTCCTTTCCCTTCCTTTCCCTTCCTGTCCCTTCCGTTCCCTTCCTTTCCCTTTCTTTCCCGAATGCATAGCAAGGGTTCCCGTTGCCCAACCGTCCGCAACCACTCGCAACCGTCCGCGCGATTGCTATATGGCCGTGCCTCTGGTAAGTTCTCCAAAAGGGGTAATTTTTGCGTTTCGCGTGGCAGGCGTGGCACTTCGTGACATTCAGACGTGTTTTGTAACGTGTCGAAAGTCATTTTGTGTGGCAGGCGCAGTACTTTTGCGACGTTTTCAGAAGATGCGTTGCAGTTTTCGTGGCAGGGGCCGCACTTTTGACGTGTCATCGTCATTTTGCGTGGCAGGCGCAGCACTTTAGACGCGTCGTGTTGCGTGTTTTTTACGAGGCGCATTGGCAGGGCTGCGTCAAGTGGCGATAAGGTGCAGATTCCGCGGCAGACGTGGCATTTTGTGAGATGTGCTGAAAATTGACGGAAGCCTCCCACGAAACATCGATTTTGAGGTAACAAATTTAAAGGCTCGTACGAAAACTCGTGGGAAAATTTTGAAGCTACAAAGTATGAAAATTGGAGGAAGTCTCGCACGAAAGGCTCGTTTTGATGCTCCCACATCTCTCGTCTCAAGTCTCTGGTTTTCCTGTGGCGTCGCCGTGTCTATGGGGGAAGCAGCAAAATCTCTCCTTTTCGAAGGTTTCCAAGCAGGTTGTCATGTCGTTTTGCGTGGCAGGGGTGGTATTTTACACTCTACACTCCGCACTCTACACTCCACACTGCACACTCTACACTCCACCACACCCTACACTTTGCACACTCCTCACTCCACACTTTACACTTTACACTCTACACGCCACACTCCACACTCGACACTTTCCACTCCACACTCTACACTCCACACTTTACACTCCACACTCCTCACTCCACAATTTACACTTTACACTCCTCACACCACACTCTACAATTTACACATTGCACTTTCCACTCCCCCTTCACACTCTACACTTTACACTCTAAGCTTTGCACTCCACACTTTACACTCCTACACACTCCTACACACTCCACACTCTACACCCCACACTCCACCACACTCCACACTCTACACCCCACACTCCACCACACTCTACACCCCACACTCCACCACACTCCACACTTTACACTCCACACTCCACAAACTACACTTTCCACTCCACACTCCACACTCCACACTTTACACTCCACACTCTTCACTCCACAATTTACACTTTACACTCCTCACTCCACACTCTACACTTTACACTTTGCACTTTGCACTCCTCACTCCACACTTTACACTCCACACTTTACTCTCCACACTCCGCACTCTACACTTTACGCTGTACACTTTAAACTCTACACTCCACACTTTACATTTTTGACTCCTCACTCCACACTTTACATTTTACACTCCTCACTCCACACTTTACACTCCACACTCCACACTCTAGACTTTCCACTCCACACTTCACACTCTGCACTTTCCACTCCACACTCCACACTCTACACTTTACACTCCATACTCTTCACTTTACATTTTTCACTCCACACTTTTCATTTTACACTCCTCACTCCACGCTTTACACCCCACACTCCACACTTCCCACTTTACACTCCACACTCTACACTTTACACTCCACACTTTACACTCCACACTCCTCACTTTATACTCCACACTCCACACTCTACAGTTTCCACTCCACACTCTACACTTTACACTCCTCACTCCTCACTCCACGCTTTATACTTTACACGCCACACTTTAAACTTTACAGTTTGCACTTTACACTACTCACTCAACACTTTACACTCCACACTCCACACTTTACACTCCACACTCCACACTCTACACTTTACACTCTACACTTTACACTCTACACTCCACACTCCACACTTTACACTCCTTGCTTTCCTCTTCACGCTTTGGACTCCACACTTTACACTCCACACTTTACACTCCACACTTTTACGCTCCACACTCCACAGTCTACACTTTACACTCCACACTTTACACTCCACAACCTACACTCCACACTCCACACTTTACCCACTGCACACTCCACACTTTACACTCCACACTCCTCACTCCACACTTTACACTCCACACTTCCCACTTTACACCCCACACTCTACACTTTACACTCCACAGTCCACACTCCACACTTTACACTCCACACTCCGCACTCTACACTTTACACTCTACACTCCACACTCTACACTGTCCACTCCACACTGCAGACTGGTAACAGGGGAAGTATGTATATACAAGACTGTTCTTCTCCCCACCCATTTCCAGCCACTCCCTTGCACCCAGGCCGTCCGCAGCCGTCCGCGCAATTCTCCGCAGCCATTTCCCGTCCGCAGCCGTCCGCCCTGGCACCCACGCCGTCCGCAGGCGTCCGCGCAATTCTCCCCATGCACCCATTTGCCGTCCGCAGTCGCCGCGCAGCCAAGCTCGCTGATCTCCAGCGGCTTCTTCTCCCCACACATTTCCAGCCACCCCGTTGCACCCACGCCGTCCGCAGCCGTCCGCGCAATTCTCCGCACCCATTTCCCGTCCGCAGCCGTCCGCGCAGCCAAGCTCGCTGATCTCCAGCAGCTTCTTCTCCCCACCCATTTCCAGCCACTTCATTGCACCCACGCCGTCCGCACCCGTCCTCGCAATTCTCCGCGCCCATTTCCCGTCTGCAGCCGTCCGCGCAGCCAAGCTCGCTGATCTCCAGCGGCTTCTTCTCCCCACCCATTTCCAGCCAGTCCCTGGCACCCACGCCGTCTGCAGCCGTCCGCGCAATTCTCCCCACCCATTTGCCGTCCGCAGCCGTGCGCGCAGCCAAGCTCGCCAATCCCCAGTGGCTTCTTCTCCCGACCCTCCCTGCACCCACGCCGTCCGCAGCCGTACGCGCAATTCTTCCCATCCATTTGCCGTCCGCAGCTGTGCGCAGCCAAGCTCGCTCATCACCAGCGGCTTCTTCTCCACCCATTTCCAGCCACTCCCTCGCACCCACACCGTCCGCAGCCGTCCGCACAGCCAAGCTCGCTCATCACCAGCGGCTTCTTCTCCCCACCCATTTCCAGCCACTCCGCTGCACCCACGCCGTCTGCAGCCGTCCGCGCAATTCTCCCCACCCATTTGGCGTCCGCAGCCGTCCGCGCAGCCAAGCTCCCTCATCACCAGCGGCTTCTTCTCCCCACCCATTTCCAGCCACCCTGTTGCACCCACGCCGTCCGCAGCCGTCCGCAGCCGTCCGCGCAATTCTCCGAATCCATTTCCCATCCGCAGCCGTCCGCGCAGCCAGGCTCGCTCATCACCAGCGGCTTCTTCTCCCCACCCATTTCCAGCCACTCCGCACCCATTTCCCGTCCGCAGCCGTCCGCGCAGCCAAGCTCGCTGATCTCCAGCGGCTTCTTCTTCCCACCCATTTCCAGCCACTCCCTGGCACCCACGCCGTCCGCAGCCGTCCGCGCAATTCTCCCCTACCCATTTTCCGTCCGCAGCCGTCCGAGCAGCCACGCTCGCTCATCACCAGCGGCTTCTTCTCCCCAACCATGTCCAGCCACCCTTGCACCCACGCCTTCCGCAGCCGTCCGCGCAGCCAAGCTCGCTGATCTCCAGCGGCTTCTTTTCCCACTGTTTCCTTTAAGTGGCTCTTCTCCCCACCCATTTCCAGCCACTCCCTGGCACCCACGCCGTCCGCAGCCGTCCACGCAATTCTCCGCAATTATTTGCCGTCCGCAGCCGTCCGCGCAGCCAAGCTCGCTCATCACTTCTTCTCCCCACCCATTTCCAACCACTCCGTTGCACCCACACGCAGCCGTCCGCGCAGTTCTCCGCACCCATTTCCCGTCCGCAGCCGTCCGCGCAGCCAAGCTCGCTGATCTCCAGCGGCTTCTTCGCCCCACCCATTTCCAGCCACTCCCTGGCACC